GGGGCCCGGGCCGAGGGCGCAGCGGGGCTGCGCGCACGCTGGGGCTCGTGGAGGGGCACTCCGGGCGACATGAGTCTGGTGGGGGGCTTCCCCCACCACCCGGTGGTGCACCACGAGGGCTATCCGTTCGCTGCCGCCGCCGCGGCTGCTGCTGCCGCCGCCGCCAGCCGTTGCAGCCACGAGGAGAACCCTTACTTCCATGGCTGGCTCATCGGCCACCCCGAGATGTCGCCCCCTGACTACAGCATGGCCTTGTCCTACAGCCCTGAGTATGCCAGCGGCGCCGCGGGCCTGGACCACTCCCATTACGGGGGGGTGCCGCCCGGCGCCGGGCCCCCAGGCCTGGGGGGGCCGCGCCCGGTGAAGCGCCGAGGCACCGCCAACCGCAAGGAGAGACGCAGGACTCAGAGTATCAACAGTGCCTTCGCGGAGCTGCGCGAGTGCATCCCCAATGTCCCCGCCGACACCAAGCTCTCCAAGATCAAGACGCTGCGCCTGGCCACCAGCTACATCGCCTACCTCATGGACCTACTGGCCAAGGACGACCAGAACGGCGAGGCGGAGGCCTTCAAGGCGGAGATTAAGAAGACAGATGTGAAGGAAGAGAAGAGGAAGAAGGAGCTGGTCAGTAGCAGGGGGTAGCCAGGGCCCCAGAGGGGGGTGTTCAGGGCACTGGTGTTACCCGCCTCTTTCTAATAGGGCTGAGCAATAGCATCCCGCAGGTAGAGAAGGTTTCCTATTCAAGGAGAGGAGCTGGGGAGGGGTGGCAGCAAGGAAGAGGACTGTGAGAGGGATGCTTTTCTTTGGCAATATACCTCCCCCCTTCGTGCTGATCCCCCAGGCGCTGAGGGCGAATCTCCATCTCCCCCTAGCCCTGGCCAGCCCTGCACTTAGGGCTCATTTAGAACCTTCATTTAGCTTCCAATCTGACCTTGCCTTAGATAGTTCTAAAAATAAACGGCCCAGAAATGCTCTTTTCTGATTGTTGCACTGTTAATCGCACCCCATCCCCATCCCCTACAACAAGGCTGCCCTGGATTCTGAGCCTGGAGGGGTTTGTGGGTGCCCTCCTTACTGTGCCGGCAAGAAGTAAAGGTAGACATCTATAGGAACGCTTTTAACTTCAAAATGCAGCTCCAGTTTCTTTTTGGCGATGAGGTTAAGCATAATTTCCCAGATGAATATAATCCACGAGTTTTTCCAATTAACTTGTGCATTTTTAAGACCAGGAAAAGGTAAACATTAGTCTGGTCATTGTTACTGTTTGTTGGTAACAGCAACGCAAAATTATACCCAGCCGTTTCAAGCTTTCTCAGGTTTCTCCTCGGTACCCATAGGATCTCTGGTTTTCAGGATAAGGTTATTTATTGCCCAGAGGGGCATGGGTGATTTTTCTTTTCTTCTTTGGTTCTTGTAGCCCTTTGGTTGCTGCACGACGGGGTGACCTCTCAAATACCCAGAGATTTTAGAGGACTTAGAGGAGAAGAGCTGAGCCGCTGGCAGGGAGGCCCAGGCTGGGCTGTAGGGCCTTCGACCGGTCTTCACTAGAGCGCCAAACTTGAGACTGAAAACACATTTTAACGCCAGCCCTCACTGCTGCCCCTCGAGTCAAGGAACAGCCCCCCAACTCTTTTTTTAAACAGCGTGAAAAGCTCAGGGTGTTTATAAACTTGCCGATCTGCTAGCGTAGCGCTGCAGGCGTGAGGAGACTTCCTCAGCAGCAAGGCCGGCTCAGAACTTCGTAGCTTTACAGCAGAAGCTGAGGCGTAGCGCTCCCCACCCCCCAAAGCCCTTCCTGCCTCTCGCTCTACCCCCGCAGGCTGAGGAAAAGGTAGGGTGGCGTCGGACTAGTTCTCCTCTCTAAATTTCTCTTTCCACTTTTCTTCCCTTCGCCTGACCTCTGCCCAGAATGAAATCTTGAAAAGCACAGTGAGCAGCAACGACAAGAAAACCAAAGGCCGGACGGGCTGGCCACAGCATGTCTGGGCCCTGGAGCTCAAGCAGTGAGGAGAAGGAGGAGGAGGAGGAAGAGGAAGAGAACGGGAGCTGGCCAGGGCCCAGACGCCGTGCAGACCCAGGACTCAGAGCAACCCCTCCACCCGCGCTCAGCTCGAGGACTTTGGAGGCATTTGGATTCATCCGATTTATTTATGTGCAATTTCCCTCCCTTCCCTTTGTCCCCTCTGAGGCATCTGCTCCTCACCTCCCCCTCAAAAAAAAAAAAAAGTGGCTATCTGAAGAAAAGCATTCCATATTTTAATATGAAGAGGACACTCCCGCGTGGTAAGGGATCCCGTCGTCTTGTACATTCTCTGTGTGAATGTTCTTCTGGCTGTGTAGACACCAGCGTGGCCCCCTCCCCACCTGCCCACCTCCTTCCAGCTAAAGACAGCGGACAGTAGTAACCTATGTGAAGTATATCTTTGAGGCCTTTTGGATATAAATATTCCTAGGAATTATAAAGTTTTATTTCAAAGCAGAAAATAGGGCCGCTAACATTCGTTGGGGTCGCTATCTAGTGCTGTCTTTTCATCTGTGGTCGTTCCCTCTTCGAAAATGTTTCCAACAGCTTTCGTGCACTTCAGTCCTCTAAAACTAAGTGGAATTTAATTAATATTGAAGGTGTAAACGTTGTAAGTATTCAATAAACCACTGTGTGTTATTTTTTGGTTTTTACAAAACCCCCAATCTTTTAATGGTTGATACCTCAAAAGAGTTTTGAAAACAAAGCTGTTCTATTTGTTTTCATAATATTTAAAATATTCAGAAGTAAACTAAATTATCATGATTGCCTCTACCTTTATTTGAGAGTCAGTGGTTCGGACCGGTCATGGCGTGATTGGGTTCCAGGAGGGCGAGGAGGGCCTCTCAAGGAGAAGTGTCTGCTGTGAACATTCTTTCCAGGGGTCTTGGCTCTCTCCACGTGCTGTCGCTGGCCCGACCCCCTCTGCCCCAGGAGAACGCTGAGGGGTCTAAGAACTGGCCCGGGCAGTTTGTTCCGAAATGGAAGGTGGCCTTGTTTTTCTGAAATTCCCCAGAGCATTCTTGAAATCCACAAGGGTAGCTTCGGGTTTTGTTTGACGAGTGTGGATCGCAGGCATTAATGCCCCCACAGAAATCTGGAGTCTTTCATTCCAAATAGAGGACTTCCATGGGAGAGAAGTCAAAAGAAAAGATGAGAGGAGATTGCTCCCCTCTAGCCTCTTGGGGAGGCGGGGAGACACTCGCCTAAGCACGCTCTAGGCTTGGCCATGGTTTGGGAGGACTTGGGAGAAAAGGCTGTGATTAGGTAACGCGAAATTTTATGTCAAGTAAGTAGTCTCAAACAAGACCACGGATTTAAAGGGTAAGGTTGGAGGGGACTTAGATTTACAAGGAGCCACGGGGATCTCAATATTAACTGCACAGTGTCTTAAGTGCCCCAGGTTGCCTCGGGGTGCGACTGCTCCTTACCCATGCCTGCCGCCAGGACTTCACTCCACTGGGGCCTTCGTCTCCCCAAATCCCGAACATCCCGGAAAGAAATCCCTGAGGTCTCCTGTCCTTGCCTGCTTGGCTAACGCCTGCCTTCTCCGCATCAGGAACTGGAGGAATTGAAGTGCCTTGAAGGACTCTCCAGGCGGAGCGGGAGCGGGAAGGAATTCCGGGAAGGGGGGAAGAAAGGTGAAACGTATTAAAAAGCGGTTTGTTTCAGGAAACGTGCACGTATATAAATCTGGTGTTGCGGAGGCTTGCCAGAGGGTTTTCAACTTGGATTCCGTCTTCCGGCTGATGTTCGCACCTCGGCCGCGGGCACAGACCCTCCTCCCGGACGTCCCAGGGGTTCCCACGCCTCTCCGGTGCCCACTCTGCGCCGCTGCTGGCAGCGCACCCGGCTGGGCCCAGCGCCGGCGACTTGGCCAGGCGCGTCCCGGGAGAGACAGCGCGTGGCCCTGCGGGCTGCTGCTGCGGGCGGCTGACAACGCCAGGGCGAAGGGTTAGAACAACTCGGCCAAAGCGATCTGAACTTTCTCCCCTCGGGTCAGCAGGCGCTGGGCCGGCCCGGTGGGCGCGGGGCTGTGTTTACTGACACTTGTCTTTGTTTATAGCACTTGATGGGGGTGGGGGGTGGGATGAGGCGCGCCCGGATTTTCTGTTGCTCTCGGGATCCCTGTCGGTTTGACCGAGTGGTTCCCTCCCTCTCCTGCCTCCAGCTGCCTTCACTTTTTATACGCTCTCAGGAGAAAGATTGGAGGCCTTGGAAGTGGAAGAAAGGAATCGACCAAAGTGGTGGAGCGAATGATTGGAGGCGGTGATGTTTTTAAAAGAGGAACCAGAAAGGAGCTCTCTGCGTGCACTTGTGCTTCTGCGCTCCTAGGGTGCTTTTCGCCATCTGGACGTTAATACACTTCTACCCGTTAATACACTTTCCCCTGGTTTATTAAATGCCAAATAGCGGAGGAAAACCAGAAAGACCCTGGCACACCGTCTTCAGGAGGCAGCTGACAAGTACACATGCATTTCAAGTCATGCTCCAAAAATCCAGCCTCTTTGTCTGGCCAAGGCTCTCCTCTCTCTCACCTGCTACATCACTTCGCCTCCAGAAACACTCGGCTCGGATACCCAAACTACCTTACCATTTGAAGCAGTGGACACCATAAACAGCCAGCAGATGGGACCCCTTGGCCACCAGAACTCCTAGCCCACAGCACACCCCAACTGACTCAGCTGTAGGCAGACTGACAAGACAGACCAGATTACCTGTCTTCCCAGCAGCCCTGTTCTTACAGCTGTCCTAAAGCTCTAAGCCACTTAACATTTCAGTCTTCCATTGTCAAATCCTCAGGAGGTGAGAGACATACAGGGTTGGCATTTCTTCTGGGCATCCATGGTTTTTTTTTTCTTCTTCTACAAACTTTCTTGTTATTTTCATTCTTTCTTCTTTGCCTCTCTTAAAAAACATTTTCAAGCTCCCAATTTACAGACCCGACTAAAAGGCCTCTGTTTTAATTGCTCGGATAATGTGGCTGCTGCCATTTTGTTAAGAGCAATCACTCCTGCAGCGAAATCACAAGCGCTCTAGACAGGCCGGAGCCGACAAAAATGTAGGATTTGACGTTAAAAGCTAAATGGGAAGCCGGGGCGGCGGAAGGTAAATTGATGGTGGATCTGGCTGTCAGGGCCCTGGCCCCAGACCGCCGAGCAGGCCGAGTGCCTGATAACCCTGGAGCAGGAGCAGGGGGCGGGGGCTCCCGTGTGTGTGTGTGTGTGTGTGTGTGTGTGTGTGTGTGTGTGTGTGTGTGTGTATGCGCGCCCGCAAGCCCATTCTCCATTACATTTGGAAAGGAGTTGGCAAAACTTTGCTTCTTCTTGCAATTTCCCAATACTTTCCCCCCTACCTAGAGCATTGACAGCAAAGTTAAGGATATTTTCAGGCCTATTCTCTTGGAATGTGGCAGCTGGAGCACTCGGGAATGTGATGCCTTCTAAGTCAGAAACTAGGTGAGAAACGCTAGTCTCGGGATTGGTTCGCCAGAAGGTACATAAGTTGGCCTTCCTGCAGAGGCTGTCCTCAGGTGTGTGAGGCCAAGAGAACTGTAGTCTCCAATTAAAAAGATGGATGCTGTCGTGGTCTATAGGGGGGTGGCCTCAGGATCTTTTGTTTCCTCTGCCCAAGGTACAGGTATGGCTCGCTGGACCCTTCCCAACCTGTACTTCAGAGTACAGCGAAGAGTGGGGAGATGCGGGATGTACAGCGATTGGCAAGGATCTAATAGCTGATGTCCTGCCTGGTTGTGAATGCAGCGAGTGGGGGCGGGAGGGGTGCCTGAGATTGGTGCAAACTGAATTTGTAGAAAGGGATGCTGAGGGTCAGAGGTGAGTAAGCTCAAAGGTGCAAAGCCTCAGGGAGGAGGGGAAGGTAGGCCCAGCTTCCAGGACCTGAGATGTTTGGTTAGAGGACAGGAACCCTGGCAAAGGATGCCCACTTGTAATTAGGGCCTACAAAGCACAAGAAACTGCTTGCTTTAGGAACTTAAGAGAAATTCATGTAATGCTGAAAAAAGCAGTTCTGGCATTTTTCTCTTTCAATATACGAAAAGCTATGGCGCTTTCTTCCCGCCTGTTGAGTTTCAGTCACTGGTGGACGCCAAGTGGAGATGGTCCGGAAAGACGCCTGCGGCGCCACTCGGGAGCAGGGCTGAATCTTCACTCTGCAGCATGCAACACTGGTTGTCTTTCTGGATCGATGGACTAGAAGGAACTCATTGCCTTCAGAGGGCTCAGATCAAGGCACAAGAAGGGGCAGCAAACCCAACCTCCTATAGGCACAGAACTCCTGATTGTGGGAATCCGCAAGTTCCTCAGGTTCTGGAGCCGCCTTCAGACTAGGCCCAGGACCCCAACCCAGAACCCCAGCCCAGGACCCTGCAGCACCTCCCCAGGGGGAAGTCCAGCTGGGCTATGAATTGCTGCTTTAAGAATTACGTCTGGGGAGAGAGTACTGAGAAGGGGGATAAGCAGTGCATTTTACAGGCCTTTCGCACAGATTCCCCCTTGCCCTGACTCCCGAAGAAACGCTGGGAGAGGAAACGAACCTCACGTTTCCCGGGGGGGGGGGGGGGGCGGGCAGCCCCGAGCGCGCAGCCTCACCCTGGGCGGTGTCTCACCCCTGGACGCGCAGTGCGCCCGTTTCCCGAGCGGCAAAAGCCTCTGCCGGGTACTCACTGGCCTTCTTCCCACAGCTCAGAGCCTTGAGCTGCCAGGCTAATACAAGCTAAAGCGCGCTCGGTGTCTGACTTACACGCGCGCAGAAGGTTTAGCATTCTCTCTCCCTTCTCCTGGCCCCACCCGGTTGAATTCCGCTCGCTAGGAGGAGGACGCCCCCCGCTGCTCCCCCAAACTCGACCCCACCCCCTCTGCACGTACATTCCCTTCCAATTCTCCCGGCCTTTGAGTCGCTTTGATGATCAGATGGTAGGGCCCTGATTACAAATTTATTCCCCGGCTCTCGGTCTGTCTTTATCTCCGCTATTAGGGACATCTGGGAGTGATTAGCGCCGCGCCCGCTCCCGGCCGCGCTGGCCTATCTCGCCGCGGCAGGGCCGGAGTCTCGCTG